GACCAAATTTGTTAGAAATTCGTATTAAGTGAAATATTTCTGGAAATGATAAATATTGTTAGAACTAATTTAGTATACATAGAACAGAAATATTAAACTTTGATATTTAATTTTAGTTATTTTAGACAAATCATACACTAAAGTCTCGAATTATGTGCTTTTTTGACAGAATGTATGGTAAAATTAAAATTTATACAATCATACCAATTATCACTATGCCTTATGTGACAATTGTTTAGAGACTTTAGTGTATGATTTATCTAAAATAAATAAAATTAAATAGTTAAAAAAATACTTTAAACTATTTTGTATTATTTTTGTGTTAAAAAAATTGCTTGAAAAGATGTCTAACAATACGCAATCTATTTAATATTTAATATTTATTCTTATTCCTAATATTTTTGGCGCGCAGGGCTTAATCGTAAGGCAAGAAATTTTTAAGCATTAATTTGTCGCTATTTTATTCCAACTTTCTCCCCTCTTTTCCTCCTCCTTTCTCCCTATCACAACCCTCCCCGCCCCGCCCTTTGTCCTATCAGAACCCTCCCCCCCCCTTTTTTTTACTTTACAACATTTGATTTGATATTGTTCTTCCTAATTTGCTATTGGTTTTTCCTCCCGACGCGTAACTCACGATAACGAGTATATAAATAACTTCGATAGAGCTAAATTATTTCTATTCCACCGGCAATGGCAGACTTAAGAACACTTTTGGAACTCATCAAGTTGAAACTTAATGAACCAACAGTGGATTTTATCGCTCAATTACCGCTTGAAATTTCAAGTATGATACTAGACATGCTTGATGATCAATCACTTCTCTTTGCAAGTGGTGTTTCTCACAGCTGGAGAGAGATATGTAAATCGGAAACAAAATTAAATAGGAAATTATATGACTATTTATTAGGTAGACCAAATCGTCGAATCCCATTTCTTTCAACTTTACGATTATTATAGAATTAATAGTGAATATAATTATTTTTATAGATAGATAGACAGAAATCAAAATGTATATATCAAAATAAAGTTAGATTTAACATTAAGCTAATTCAATTGTAT